TCCCTCCTCACCTGTGTCTTGTTTGCATGATTAGTCTTGTGTGTATTTAAGTTCTGGTTTTTCTGTCTGTCTTTGTCGGTTCGTCTTGTGTTTTGACTTGGTCTTCGGTGAGTGTTCTGTTCTGTCTTTGTTTCTAGTATAGCCTTGAAATAAAGGAGATATTTTTGACACTTACATCTGCATTTGAGTCCTGCTTCCTGCACACACCGTAACATTACGAACCGACCTGAGATATGGGCCCAGCAGATCCGTTTGAGCAGGAACTATTGGATTATACATTTTCTTTGTCTGACTGCGCTCATCGATGGATAGGAGCGGTCAGGGTTCAACAGCGAGATGCTGCTCTGGCAGAAGCATTCAACCTTACAATGAAAAATCAAGATTTGGTTAAATTCTTACCTGCCTGGCTTTTGGATTACCTCACGGTTTGTTTTCCCGATCCTGATAGACCCAGGTCTCCCAATTCCCTTTTTGATACCACACGCATCGGTGTGGTCCGTCTGGCGTCAGCCCCTGCTTCTCACCCAGTGTTTGCTACAGTCCAGGAGCCATTCGCTGGTACTCGTCTGGCTTTTGGAGGTCCACGGAGCCTCCAAACGGCTCCTAAAAGAAGGAGTCGCAAGGCCAGGTTAGCAGCACGAGCCCAAAGTGCCATGGTTCCAGCCCCAGTTCTGGCCCCAGCAGCCATGGTTCCAGCCCCAGTTCTGGCCCCAGCAGCCATGGTTCCAGCCCCAGTTCTGGCCCCAGCAGCCATGGTTCCAGCCCAAGTTCTGGCCCCAGCTGCCATGGTTCCAGCCCCAGTTCTGGCTCCAGCAGCCATGGTTCCGGCCCCTGTTCTGGCCCTAGCAGCTATGGTTCCGGCCCCTGTTCTGGCCCCAGCAGCCATGGTTCCAGACCCAGTTCTGGCCCCAGCAGCCATGGTTCCGGCCCCAGTTCTGGCCCCAGCAGCCATGGTTCCGGCCCCAGCAGCCATGGTTCCGGCACCTGTTCTGGCCCCAGTAGCCATGGTTCCAGCCCCAGCAGCTATGGTTCCGGCCACAGTTACGGCCTCGGCAGCCATGGTTCCGGCTTCAATTCCGGCTCCAAAGCCGGCCCACACAGCCATGATCCAGGCTTCAGCTCCGGACCTTACAGCCATGTTTCCGGCTCCAGAACTGGATCTTACAGCCATGGTTCCGGCTCAAGTACCGGCCCCAGCAGTCATGGTCCCGACTCCGGCTCCTCGTCACCTGTTGACTCATCGGCCAACGCCAGATCCCGAGTCCTGTCGGCATACCGGCCGACTCCAGCACCTCGTCTCCTGCTGGCTCTCCAGCCGACGCTAGCTCCCCGTGTCCTGTCGGCATACCGGCCGACTCCAATACCTCGTCTCCTGTTGACTCTCCAGCCAACACCAGCTCCCGAGTCCTGTCGGTGTACCGGCCGACTCCAGCACCTCGTCTCTTGTTGGCTCTCCAGCCAACACCAGCTCCCCGTGTCCTGTCGGTGTACCGACCGACACAAGTTCCCTCTCAAGTCCCCTCTCAAGTTCCTACCCGGGTCCCCTCTCAAGTTCCTACCCGAGTCCCCTCTCAAGTTTCCTCTCAAATCCCCTCTCGAGTCCCCTCTCGAGTTCCCTCTCGAGTTCCCTCTCAAGTCCCCTCTCGAGTCTCCTCTCGAGTTCCCTCTCAAGTCACCTCTCAAGTCCCCTCTCGAGTCTCCTCTCGAGTCACCTCTCAAGTCAACTCTCAAGTTTCCTCTCTAGTCCCCTCTCAAGTCACCTCTCGAGTTCCCACTCTCGTCCCCTCTCGAGTCTCCTCTCGAGTTCCCTCTCTCGAGTCCCCTCTCAAGCCCTCTCTCGAGTCCCCTCTCGAGTTCCCTATCGGGTCCCCTCTCAAGTCACCTCTCGAGTCTCCGTTCAAGTTCCCTCTCGAGATTCCTTTCAAGTCACCTCTCAAGTCAACTCTCAAATTTCCTCTCGAGTTCCCTCTCAAGCCCTCTCTCAAGTTCCCACTCAAGTCCCTACTCATGTGCCGTTGGAGGTCCCGCAGACTACTCTTCTGCCGGGGATCCTGCCAACCCTATGTCCTGTACCGTTGGAGGTTCCGCTGGGGGTCCTGCCAACCCTTTGTCCTTTCCCGTTGGGGGTCCCGCCGACTACTCTCCTGCCGGGGGTCCTGCCAACCCTATGTCCTGTCCCGTTGGGGGTCCCGCCGACTACTCTCCTGCCGGGGGTCCTGCCAACCCTTTGTCCTGTCCCATTGGGGGTCCCGCCGACTACTCTCCTGCCGGGGGTCCTGCCAACCCTATGTCCTGTGCCGTTGGAGGCCCCGCCGACTACTCTTCTGCCGGGGGTCCTGCCAACCCTAAGTCCTGTGCCGTTGGAGGCCCCGCCGACTACTCTCCTGCCGGGGGTCCTGCCAACCCTGTGTCTTGTCCCGTTGGAGGCTCCGCCGACTACTCTCCTGCCGGGGGTCCTGCCAACCCTATGTCCTGTCCCGTTGGGGGTCCTACCAACTACTCTACTGCCGGGGGTCCTGCCAACCCTATGTCCTGTGCCGTTGGAGGCCCCGCCGACTACTCTTCTGCCGGGGGTCCTGCCAACCCTAAGTCCTGTGCCGTTGGAGGCCCCGCCGACTATTCTCCTGCCAGGGGTCCTGCCAACCCTGTGTCCTGTCCCGTTGGAGGCCCCGCCGACTACTCTTCTGCCGGGGGTCCTGCCAATCCCTTGTCCTGTTCCGTTGGAGGTCCTGCCGACTACTCTTCTATCGGGGGTCCTGCCAACTCTATGTCCCGTGCCTTTGGAGGTTTTGCTGGGGATCCTGCCAGCTCTATGTCTAGTCCAGTTGGAGGCCCTGCCATCACCTGTCCTGCCGGGGGTACTGCCAACCCCTTGTCCAGTTCCGTTGGAGGCCCCGCCATCATCTGTCTCACCGGGGGTGCTGCCAACTCCTGGTCCTCTTCCGTGGGGGATCCTGCCGAAGCATGTCCCACCGGCTCCGGTTCCTGTTCGCCCCACCCTGAACTCTGCCTTGTCCCCGGGCCGTCCACCCGAGTCCCCCTTTTTGAACTCTGCCTTGCCCCCGGGCCGTCCGCCCGAGACCCCTTCCTTGAACTCTGCCTTGCCCCCAGGCCGTCCGCCCGAGACCCCTTCCTTGAACTCTGCCTTGCCCCCGGGCCGTCCGCCCGAGACCCCTTCCTTGAACTCTGCCTTGCCCCCGGGCCGTCCGCCCGAGTTCCCCTTTTTGAACTATGCCTTACCCCCGGGCCGTCCGCCCGAGACCCCATCCTAGATCTCTGCCTTGCCCCCGGGCCGTCCGCCCGAGACCCCTTCCGGGTCCTCCGCTGTCAGCCCGTCCTCCAGACCCCCTCCACCCACCCTGTTGGCCTTAGTTTTTTGACTTGGTCTTCGGTGAGTGTTCTGTCTTTGTTTCTAGTATAGCCTTGAAATAAAGGAGATATTTTTGACACTTAAATCTGCATTTGGGTCCTGCTTCCTGCACACACCGTAACAGAGGCAAAAAGATCAATACTCGGTACCATAGATACCCAAACTCTAAGTATTCTCAAAAAGCCAGACCGTCCCTACTCACAAGTGTGACTTTCAATCAATATCCAACTTTACCTTTTGACACATGTAATATACCTTTTCAAAGACATCTGCCACTTGAGACTGTTTTAAACAGAGCACTTTAAAACCTGTTAAGCCCCACGACACTGTGTCTCAGGACATCTTAATATTTAAGGACCTATTAATGTGTTATACCAGATTAACGGGAATAATCTCAGCTAACTGAAGATATGAACCATTTCTTACATTACATTACATTTAGCTGATGCTTTTATCCAAAGCGACTTACCAAAACAAAACACAAGTCTCATAAGAAGCATCTAAATGACCCCTTAGCGAAAAATGCTAACGCACTTTGGCACAGAACTCAAGATAAAAATACCCTTATTACTTATCGTAGCTGCACATACAAGATATCCGATTACAGCTGAGGTTCCACAGATTATTTAGCTTTATTGTATCATCACTGAGCGATCCAAACTCGCAACAGGGAAAGCAAACACAGACATCACAGCACGTACCTTTACGGAGCTTTTACGGGAGATCGTCTCACCGTAGCTGTCAATCTGATCAAAAGACGTGTTCAATGGCATTAAAACGAGAAAAAACGCGGCTGAATCAGTTAATCCATAGGTTGATAATGTTTCTGTGGATTTGAAAAAATTATTTATAATCCATAATTCCATTTTTATGTAAAAATCGGAGAGTAAAAGTTAGCTGCTAATGGTAGCCACCAGAGTTATCGCAGCTTCCGGTCTTGGCTATGCGTCAGTCTCTCACACACACACATTACCAAATAAGGAGTATGTGGGAGTTCCCCTCGATTCCATTGGCTCTGACGGTTAGAAAGAGATGTCAATCAGCAAAATCGAGCAAGGGGGGCCAGAGATATGGAAAATCCACCCAAATGACCTCAGAAGTGTTTTTTTTTGCTAAATCTCTCTAAAAAGGTCACATTGCACTTGTTGGGCATCAATCTTAATACAGGGTGCTTATTATATGTTGTAGTTTGGATTCCTAAAGCTTTTAGTCTACCATCCCATCATTCAAGGGTGGTTTTCAATATAAGTATTTTTTTTTTTGGACGGAGACAATAATTTACATTTTTTTACTGTGTTCAATCTGAATTTACTTTAAAATAAAAACATCAATATTGATTCAGACACTTCTACATCCAACTCATAGGTGTAACCTTGCTTTGAGAAAAACGATTATTAATTTAACCCTTTTAGAAGGGAAGATATGGTCATTTGTTCTGGGAATGTCATTTTCGAGCCTGAGACCTGGAAAACAGGCTCGGGGCTTAACAAGAACGATGACAGAAAAAGTTCCATCATCACCACTGTAGGGGCCAGAAGCCCAAACCCTGCCAAGCAGGGGCCCCTGCTGAGATACAAATGGCAGAGCGGTGTCTCACATGCTCCGCTTCACTAACAGCTCGTGTGTTTACCTGAACGTGGCCTTGAGGATCTGTCCAGACGTGCTCTCTTTGGAGTGGTTGTTGTATCCGTAGAAAAGGTCTCCGAACACAGTCTGGTTAGCGGGGATGTCCACTGCCTCGGCGCAGTCTATTCCCTCGGTGCAGGCCTCCGACAGCGGCAAACATGACCTCCCATCTGGACCACGTTTGTAGTCCTCGATGCACCTAAAGGAAAAGTGGTTTAAGTTTTAATTGGATCATACATTTACTTTTGTACATGTGTAGGAGAGGACAAAGCTGCTCATGCTATGACTCCGGTTTGCAGAGATGGCAAAGGTACACACATAATCAAGTAGAAGAACAGATACTCGTGTTTAAAAATACTCTGGGAAAAGTAAAAGTACCGACAAAACTTCTTTACTCAAGTAAAAGTAAAGAAGTACAGGCTTCAAAATGTACTAAGTAAAAAGTACCCATACTGTAACTACCAACTGTTTTAAAGAGTAACTGACCTCACTTTATATTAATAGAACAATAATGTCATTGTTAGCTAATGAATGTTTCAATGCTGAACAACGGCAACATGAAAACGTTTTCATTGGTCCCTCTTCTCTTTAGAGAAGACCAGGAAATGATGGATACACGGATCATGTTAAAATCAATAGGCATGCAATGACTCTAAATAATAATGATCACGCCACCAAACGCAGATTAAAACTAAAGTAACCAGCCTGTTTTGAAAATGTAAGAAGTAAAAGTACAGGCACTTGTGTTAAAAAGTAAAATTAAAAAGTTGTCAGAAAAATAAGTAGTGGAGTAAAGTACTAATACCAGAAAAATGCACTTAAGTACAGTAACAAAGTATTTGTACTCCACTACTTCCCACCTCTGCCGGTTTGTACCAAGGTCTTTGGTTTGGTAATGTTACGTTAGCTCAGCATATCATTAGAGGTTATCAGTCTGATATGGAAACATTGTCAAACTAATAAGCTTGTTATTACTATAAATGGCCAATTACACCCCTTTCTAAAGTCATGATTACAATTCAATACCACTTATATTATATCTTAGTACATTTGGGCTGAATGAATTTATTTTAGAAAACTAAACTAGAAAGGTAACAAAAAAATAAGAAAATACTGCGGGAGCTCAACAAGAAGCAGCTGCATTTTCATTTCATAATACTCTCTAAAAAAAGGAACATTTTTGATAATGCTTGGCTCCAACCATTACAAGCTTGATTTAGAGGAAATAATGACATGCAATTTTAACCACAACCCCATTATTTGATAAATTACTACTTTAAATTGTCAGGTTTCCTCAAAGCCTTAGCATTAAAGTTGGGCTCCAGTGGTTTTTTGACCAAGTGTATATTTAAGTAAAAAAAGGAACCTTGCACGACCTCAACAACAAATGGCTTTATTAATACATTTTTTAATTTGAGTTTTTTTTGTAATAACGCTTGCCTCCAACATATAACGTTTTTGTTTAACTTGTAGACAAATTTAAATTACAACCGCAATATCGATTACAATAATTGAATGTTTTAATGTATTGCCTTCAAAGCCTTAGCATTATCCTAATGTAATGAACATGGATAATGAGATTATACTGTACTGCAACACCCGAGTGGTACGGTGAGGCACTTTTAGTTGCTACTACTGTATTAACGCATTTACAAGTAGACTGTTGGCAGTCATGAATATTGATTAAAACCTTGCGATTGAATATTTTTGAAGTTATATTCTGCAGCATTTCCACTGTGTTGAAAACATGAACGTTTCAGTCAACAGTGTAGAATCAGCCAAATCAATTCGAGTAAAGTGGCACAAAATCCCCCATCTGAAAAAGGAGAAGCGTCGTAAGCTCTGTCATACTCATGTCGGTGTACAATATACTGAGAACTGGGGAAGGGGGGGTTAAAGAGAGAAAGATTATATGTCAGGGATTTCAACTGAGAGAAGCTCTACTGGATGCCAAATGTCTCAAAAATAATGTCAGTCTCCAGTGGGACTGGTCGAGGATTAGCCACATCTGCACAGTGGAGAGTGACAACAACATGCTGTTGTTAGGAATAAAATAGAACAGCAGTGTGTGTATGTATACTGTGCCTGCAACATCATGTGTAATGTAAAGATGACAACAGAAACAACAGCTTGTAGCGTTCAACTACAACTCAGCTGCTTCCAGGATCTGGTTCTACTTTGTCACATCTCTTTAGAACTCAAAGAAACTAGAACTAGAAGGCCTCCACAGCTAAAGTTAAATATGTTGTTTATAATACAACTTTAGCTTGTTAGAGCAGAACATATGAACAACTCAAACCTTGGACCACCTGTAGAGTTAATATTTACACGCCATGCAGGTATTTTTTTGTTATTCTGGCTGATTAGAACTCTGACATTTTTTCAAAATCATGAAATCCATGTGAGATTAATGATCAAATGATCTCAGGTGCAATATCATTAGTGGTGAGGAATATGTTATTCATTCTATACATGTCCACAGTCTTGAAAGGAGGTCTCATTAGTGTATTAAGTGAAACCCCTGAGGGGCTTTAGCATGGCTGTGAACTGGCTTTAGATTAAATGATGCAGGTCTCCATATAACGCATCATAACATGAGATGATGCCATGTTTCCACTGCACCCTACCATCTGCTCGTCTCACTTTTGACAACCATACATTTTCTATATTCGGTGTTCCATTGCAGATCGTACCCCCTTATTGTGGTATGATGCACTTGTAGCAATGCAATATGTAACTGCGGTGACATCATCTTTAACAGGACCCTCTATGAAGCATTTCATCTGCAACAAAACAGAGGAATGTCTGCACTTTGTCCATTGTACACACAAGTGTTTGAGGCTTCCAAATGTAGTTAATACAAAAATGTGATTGCTGTAAACCATAGCTTGGCTTTTTGAAAAAGGCAGGTTTGTGCAGGTTCTGTGTTTTGCTAGCAACAGTTCTCTCCATCCAGTCAGTGGTCTTTATTGACTTAAAGGTCGCTTATAATGCACAATCCACTTGTTCATGTCTTTTAAACATATGTCCCCTCTGTGTAAAGAGATTCTGGACGTTTCAGGAAAACATATTTGCTCCCTTGTTGTCCTGAACCATAAAAACCTGTCTGAAAATGAGCTGATCAGATTTTGGCTACTTTATGATGTCATAACGATGTTTTGGCTTGTGTAACCATTAGCCAATAACCAACCAAGGTAACACCCCCCCCTTCTTTATCACCTGAATCTCTTTCTAGTAGGGGTGTAACAGTTCACAGAAGTCACGGTTCAGTTCATACCTCGGTTTGGGGGTCACGGTTCGGTACGGGTTCGGTACAACAAGGAAAAGCAAAAAAAAGTCCCAAATGCATAATTTTTTTTGCTGTTATTTATTTGTAACAGTAGTGCAAATTTTGTTATGAAAATAAGGAACTCTAACATTTGGAATCATTAACTGTATTACACAGTTAAAAACAAACCACAAACAGTAACACACACACTCAAATGGCCATATTATTTATATTGGCTGATGTCAAACAAAAAGGTTAAATAAGCTGTACAACTAAAAAGAATGTCTTGAACATATTAAAATAAATAATAAGAAAATAAAATCTGTACCTTTAGGAGCAATGTCTAACATGTGTTATTAACTTGTGAGTGTGTGAGGCCATTATGCCTAAATAAAGGTACTCAAGCTTTACTCTATTTTCAAGTTTTTCTTCAAAAAGATGAGTTTGTCTACGTTGTCAGTAGTGAGGGCAGATCTGTTGGCGGTAACTATGGGCCATTCTCACTTCGGTTAAATGGATTCCTTGCGTCCCTCACTTGCGTCGTTTCCCTGCGACTAGTCCCTCCCACCAGGGAAGCATGGAGAGACGCAAGGAACCCATGAGAAGCAGGGACATGAGTTTTAAGAGCAATGGGACGTCCTTTCCTCCGGAGCGTCACGTGAAGCGACGTCCGTTTGTGATGACGCTGCACAGCTGATCGTCTGACAGCAGCTCTGTCCCCATTATTTCCACACAGACCCCCGCCTCTGTTAGTACACATTTACTGACATAAACATTTGTATCATCTGTTATAGACCCAAATAAATAAAATAAAATAAGAACTCATTCTCAAAAAAGATAAACGCCATTCTTAAAATGTATAAACGAACATTAGTTGGATTAATATTGATTAGAGTGCACAATAGAAATAAAATAATTGAGAGAAGAAAAAGAGATATATTATCTATCAAAACCCAGTTAGATTAACATTCATTGGATTGCACACTTTGTTTGTTTGTTTGTTTGTTAAATTAACATTTTAAAAAGCACTTAATGACTGACTGAATGGAAATGACAATAAATGAAAATGTAAAATGAAAAAAGCGATCATGAAAATGTTTCCAAAAAAGGAATAAAATGATTTTTGAACACTTTGTTGTTCAGATATATCACATATTTGCAACTAAATGATATATTAATTGAAACAAAACACAGTATAGACTGAGGAGTGACTCCCGTGGGGTTCATGTGTTTTCTTCACTCCGCTGGGAAACTGCTCTCATGTCAAGAAGCATCAGATCAGTGCATGCACTGCATCGTCCAATCAGTGAGCGATACACAGTAAGGGGGCGGGGCGAGTGGCTGAGGATTTCATCGAAGGATGGTCTGGTGGTTCCTCGGTTATCGCTCCTCCATTATCGTTCCTCGCTCCTCCGGCAAAAATAAGGCCATTGGGACGCTACTCAAGATGGCGCAGACAAATCAACTTCCGGTGAGACTGAGACCGATGAGCGAGGAAATAAAAAATAAGAGAAGTGAGAAGGGCCCTCTGTCACCTGCCGTCGAGAAAACCCTCTCGCTGGGGACTGAGACTGACTCGGATGTGATTGAGCATGTTTGACGTGTTACCACTAGCATACCGCACCGCTGTCGAACAACGCCGACACACCGTCCTAGTCTGATCCACAACTCGCACCCCATCATTGTTGTAGTCTACAGGGAACCCGAAATGTTCCCACACACCTGATTTAAAAGAAGCAGGTGGGTCTTCTAGCTCCTGTGTGTTGTGTGAACTCGCCATAGCTAGGCTACTAAATGTTCTTCTTCATATATTGTGTTCGTTTTGTTCTTGTTCTTCATTTGTTATTTACGGGCGGCTGGCTTTTAGGCGCAATGCCGCCCCCTGGATTATATATAGTGTAATACTGCACTGAGTGACAGACTTTTTTCCCACTCGTAAAAAAAGGCGTATTCGCCGTGTGACTGCATGTGCCGAACCGTGACGTCTGAACCGTGACGGTACGGGACGAATACGGATACCGTTACACCTCTACTTCCTAGACTTCCTTTAACCAAATATCTCTCAGAGGGGCGTGGGGAGTCTCACCTTATTTGCATCTAAAGTAACAGACAGAGAATCAGCACTTTTGAAACAGGGCTGAAACAGAGGGGTTTATGGGATGCTACAATGATATGTTGGTATTTGGAGCCAAACACTTCAGAGACATGTTTTGTATATATCTGAGACCTATAATATATTGATGAAAAACAGTATAATAGGGGACCTTTAACTCTACCTTCTGGTATCGGCTCGGCTCTGTTTCAACCTTAGACCAAGGGTTACTAAAAAAGTACCAGGTTTTTTCCACAATCTTTGTCAATGGAAAACCCAAAAAGAGTGTGTCCAGTAGAGTACAATGGTACCAAATCATGCAGTAGAATTGTGGATAGTCTAACCTTATATCTGTAGTAATGGGCCTATTTTAAATGAAGATATTTTGATATGTGACACCTCCATTAAAATGTAACAGCAATGAGTGGAAAGAAAAATAACTGTCTGCATTTTACACATACTTTTGTATGTAATGTAATTTTAGAGCTTCTGCTCCAAAACATTTAGAGTATTGAATGTTCCACTCAGGATTTTATTCTTGTCACGGCCTCTAAAGTACTCAGAAGCCGATGTTTGTTTCTGATTTATTTTATTGATGTCTGCTGATGAAGAGATGCTTCATTCAAGGCAGCTGAAATTCCTGTAAAATCAGCTCCTGGATGTTTTTTTCTACATTGCAGTTGCCATGGTCACAATGTCTAATAGTTGGACCATTATAAACAGCAAAAAAAAGCTGTTGGCTTTCTGGGTGGCAAACACATGCCACGAGCACCTTAGGTGTCAGCAATCACAGTTACATTGGTACTGTAGCTACAGCTTACTGGATTGGACAGTCTCCAGGAGGCTGTTTGACAGGATGATCACTTGTGTAGATGTCTTTGGTTTCTTTACTTCATTGAGACAAATCTAAAATAAAAGCTCCAACCTGATGTAAGTCATATCAATTTGTAGGATGCCTACAGTAAATAGACTCATACAAATTAATCACTAACAGATATGATGGTTATCATTATGGGGGATTTTAGGCAGGACTGAAACTCCCTCATCACCCCTACTTGCCTCCATGCCTGTCAGTTTAACCAAAAAGACCATCTACAACACATACATTGCTCACTTACTCTACCAACTCCACCAAGGGTGCTTTCTAACAAATAGCGTGTTTGCTGTCCTCAAACCAGTGTAACACTGATGCATTTTTTATTTTGTTTCGACAAGCAAGATTCGGTCTATATAACCCTTTACGCTAGCTAAACACATTTATTTCTGAAAAATTTAGCAAGAAAATGGAGAATATACTTCAACAGAATATATTAAGATCTCTGTAGTGAATTACTGTTGGGCATGAGCAGGAGGGAATATACAGTACATACAGTAAAGCACCAGATGATGGTTTCATAGACATTTTTTAAGGGTCACTCGGTTTACTGGCTGGAGGTACGATTGAAAAGCCTCAGTTATATGCGGCTGTGTTTACAATAAATGGAGAATTTTATCATTGATCTTCTTGATCTGTTGAATTTATAATGAAGTATATATCGTATAGAATCTATATTAAATGTCATTAAAGATGGCAAGGGAAAGGAAGTGACTTTGAAAGAGAGGACAAAGGGCACCCACAGGGCACCGGGGCTCACAGAAAGGGGATGATGAGAGAGATCTGTATCATCTACAATGGCCTACAGTCACCATATTTGTACCGAGTTGAAGACCTTAGTACTGAAACATATATATGCTGTTGACATGTAGTTCCAGCATATATCAAAGCATTACATTATTATTATTTTTGTTCTGAGTTTGAAAAAGCTATGTTATGAAAAGTTATGAAAAGCAATAACTAGCTGGTTAGATGTCCTACTTTCATGTAAGTTGGAATATGTTAACCCAATTATATATATATTTGTATATTATTTGTTATATTTTGGAGCACCTGTGCCTTTATTGAACACAATGTTGAAAGGGGGAGAGAGAGGGGATGAAACATGGTAAATGGTCAGATTCGAACAAGCCCCAATAAATGGTCAACCAGCCCTATAGTGAGCTATAGAAAAGCCAAACTTGCAAATGTGTTCATTTCAAATGGAAATAGAAAACTGTTAAAAGTTACAATTCTTAAATTGCTAATTATAATACTTTTCCATAATATAATAATATAGGAATTAATTTTGTTCGTCTTTGAATGAAAACATCCCAAGCATTCATGACTTGATGCCATGTTAATGATCAGACTCAAAATAACAATGTTATGAAATAAAGTAATTAAGTGATTTAGAATAAAACCAAGAATCTGTAATTCCTTACCCACAGAACATCTGGATGTTGTAGAGTGTCGGGTCATCCTCCAGAGGAGCCAGCTGCTGGAGACACAGCTGCTCACACCCGCCGTTAAACCCATCGGAGCAGTCGATGCCGATGTGGTGGTCGTAGCACCCGGTCCCATCCTTCATAGGACTCAGCCCTGGAGGACACTGTTGGAGGAATACTGTTTTAAATGACTAATGATAGCAATTACATATTTTACTACATTCTTAGAGCTGCTTAAACTGTGAGAAGCTGCCACATGAACACTAATCCCAGATGGGACAGGTAAACAGACCAGATAACATCTGCGCCACAGAATGTAAACACTCAGATTTCTATTCCTATTAGTGCAGCCTGTATGAGCACTGAGCTTAGTCTGTAAATGTGCATATTGCAAAAAGTACAATTAAAACAGTCTAAATGACAACACTAGGCTGCAAAAGTAGAGGCAAAGGCATAGGCTTTTTTATCAGTGTTGAAACAAAGTGCACACTATGTTTTGTTTCATTTTTTTTGTGGGGGGGGTATGGCTTGTTACTAGACAATGTTGGACTATGGCTGAGTGAAGCACAAGTTGTGCAGGTTGAAAGATCAGGGGATCCACTATCCACTTTTCAGTGTTTAATACAGTTTGGTTGAAAACACAATTCTGTTTCTGTACATTTTGGACATTCCAAAGCCTACATTTATTTGAAAAGAATGATGCAAAGATCAAGGGACTGTGTGCAGTCAATTTGCAGACAAAAGTCCGGTAAATGTAATGTCAGCACTGGACAACAAACTATAGTTAATGGGGAGATTGACAAAGTTATTCAGATACATTCACCATAAATATGTGTAAAGAAATATGGCAACCCATCCAGTGGTTCTAGAGGTAAATGCATGTCCTACAAGGGTTACATTTTGTTTTTTATTTGGGTGAGCTCTCTATTGACGTTAACTGGAATTGCATTAGATCCACCTATCCAACCCTTTCCATCAACCAAATTTGCCATCTCTACACCAATAAAACTGATAAAATAAATAAAATGATACGTTTCAGAAGTCATCAAGTGTATTAAGTGTTCAATACATTGTGATATTGCGATGTCTTAACAAAGTAGCAGTGCACTTCTTCTGCCCCAGCTGCTCTCATTTCACATACAGCCACAGTAGGTATGTTACTGCAAAAACCATACCCAGTTCTCACAAAGGGAGTTTTAAAGTTGTATCGTGTATATGCTAGACAGGAAATAGACTTTGCATATCACTGCCATTTGATTATTTACTGTGGCACAGGGAATGACAAGAACAGTGATGAAATGGCAGACAACCAGTGTCATTTATAATGAAACCCTTTCAAAGGACAAACTGCAGGTTTACAATTCCTGTACAATCCAGATAGGACTGTCTTTCTTTTTGATGAGTAAGAAGATTACATTCATTTGTTTGGAAATGTGTAAAACAACAAAGAGTGTCGTACATTCACTTCAAATATTAAAATAAACAGCTACATCCTGACGTTCTCATGGAGCCATGGACAACTTCTTAATTGAAATGCATTCTGTGCTGGGGTGACTGCACAAAAGAGCTGTGAGACCTGACTTCACCCCATTTCCCTTCTTCAGTATTTCACAGGCAATTTATTTCACAGACGTGTCAGGTCAAATTCACATTATGTTTTCTGTCAGCTATTACTTCAAAGGAAACTTTGATGGAGTGCATTTTAACAAGCCAACGCACCCTCTGAACAGCGACTAGGCAGCTGGTTTCCCATAAGCGCTGAGGAATCGGCAACTGCTTATTTTTTATTATTTAGGCATATCATTCTTCAGAGGGTTAGGGCTCATGTAGCTTGTAAAGCTTGAATGATTGTTGTGGATTCCAATACTGTGGTGCAGTGTACCTTTGTTTTAGTTGGTATAGAACTTTAAAATGTGTTTTCAGTGGCATTGCAACACTGAAGTTCTTGAGATCTCAAAAGGTACGACTTGTATAAAATAACTGAGAAAGCCACGTTTTTTTCTTAAAACATTTATACATTTTGATCTTCCATTAAATGCAGGCATGGGTTTGAGGAAGTCCTTGCTTTACTTGATTTATATCAGCTTCCATTTATGCTTTATGATACTGGCTTACTTATCATATGTTTTGCAACCAGATTACTAGTGACATCCAATCACATTCATATAAGTGTTGAACGTGGCCAAAACAACTTGATGTTCATCATTATTAAAGTATAAGCAACACATATTTGTTCTGTTTCACATTACTTTCTATTGAAGCTCATGTGTTGCACAAGTTCAAGTGTGTGTTTCCTGTTTTGTTGATTCACATGTGTTCAACTTCGACCCATGGGATATGCTTGATTGGAAATAGAGACGTAATTATTTGTGCCGTGTTATATTGCTACATTGAGTACATAACCATACTACATGACTGCGTTTACATATTGTAATCACTCTGATCAATATGTAGTCATTACCCGCCTCAGAAACATTACTTTACATCCTTTCTCTTAGCTGAGTTCAAGGCTCTTTTGTAGGACAGAAATGTGTCACCTTCATTTGATTCTGCTGACACTGTGGCATTCAGGGATGTAAAGCAGATAGGTCTCCCACCCTTTTACAGTTAGAACTACTCAAAAAGTGTGAAATCTGTTAAGAGATAGCAATTTTCCCCATACATGACTTATGGCGTAGCAAATTTCAATTTCCTTGCTACCCCATATACTTTATGGGTTAGATTAACAGAGGCTCATCAAATGAACTCCCGGAGGTCGAAAGGACATTTGATTGTAGTCCTAAGTACATTACATATGGAAGGAAAGGAAACTCCGGAGGGCGAAAAGATGAAGGCTTACAGTAGATGTGTGGTGTACTACAATAGATCGATGACTAGCCGACAGGTAAAAGTGAAGGACAGAATGCTTGTGAATAATTCTACTGTAGCTGGCGAGACAGATCAGTCATGGCTTTTTGCATGTGTCCTCATTTCAGGGAAAGGAAGAACAGGTTGAATTAAATAGAGCTTTAAAGAAACTGTGTTCAACAGGGTTTCATTTGACAACAAGAAATAAGTTATTCCGTGCAATAACCCAAATGGCAAGATTAGTAGACAAGTGAAAGACTGGCCCCAGAAAGCAGGTTATGCAACGTGATGGATTGCTGAAGAGAGTCCACAAAGCTATTTAAAGGAGGGAAAGCAGATGTATGGCTGGAATATTTACTGTACTACTAGGAGCGTAAATGATGAGCAGGTGTGTAGCATTGTTTAGCTAGTGTGGCGATCAGGTGACTAAAAAAGGCGTAACATAGTGATGAAATCTAACGTGGTCTGGAAAGTTCAAATAAAATGCAGGGCCAAACAAGTTAACAGTAGTGAGACACGACAGGGGTCCCAATGACCTCACTCGTTGGCTAACATCAGTGTTGAACAATTTCGATGTAAAAGGATCTAAATGTGGTCTTATGTGTGTTTTTGGGACAGTGAAAATGTCACTGTCCCTATTGCTTGTATAGTTTTATTAGACTGTGGTGAATAGTGTTGTAGCAATTTATCATTAAGTCTAATTTAATCGTAAGTATTACTGTAACTTAATTATCTGTTTATTTCCCACTGATTGAATTCACATCTAGCCTCTAATTTCATCTTCCTTAGAACAAACCAAAGTCTGTCTCTACAACCATTGGTTTGTAATTAACATGTATGTAAGTTTCAACCGTCTGGTCAACACTTCTTGTAATGTAAATTGCATAGCTGTATGTAAGTTTCAACCGTCTGGTCAACACTTCTTGTAATGTAAATGTGCTTGCTGAAGACCTTCCCCTTCCCTCCTTCTGGAGTGTATAAAGTATTGGTATTTTATTTGGATCAAAGGTCTGGTGCTGGCTTCTTGGTGCGAGACTCTGTCCTTTCGGCTGAAATAGATTAACTCTGTTAAATGCTTTTTGACTTGTATTGACTTTATTAAATAACACAACTTTGCTTTAAACTTCTATTATTTGTTAATTTCTTGCCAACCAGGTTGTTAGGGTTAGGTGTGGAAGTGGAAGTGGAATTTCCTCCACAAACAGTAGAGAAAAATTGCTACTTTGCAGAATGAGTAGGGTCTATCAAATATTGTTGCAGCTATACATTTACATTGGCTCAGGCTATTATGAATCTAAAAACGTCCTAAATGCAAGGACAGACTCCCATTTATTTTGATATTTAGGTATTTAAAGAAACTACATTTGAATGATTTAGACATTCTCAATGTTTGTCAGTCCAAAAACCCAAATATTTAAAAGTTGGTTATTTAATTTTGTATCATAAAGGAAGTGTTCTGAATGTATAATGCTGTCTAACAGCAATTAAAGTAATAGGATATGATTGATTATAGAACTGCTATGATATATATACCTTAAAAAGTAAAGATTTTGGGATCATTTGTATTTGTGGTGACATGAGTACAGAATGGGGACACGCGTATATTGAATGACCATTTATTGCTCCTTTGGTGAACGGATATTGATTTTGCCAGTCTTTAAGGGACCTTTGAGACAAAAGGTGTATTAGCTGTAATGCAAAGAGGACACAAGCCATTGAATTTCTTAAAACAGGTACGGCACAGAGTATTTAAATTACTAGTACTCAATACACGTTTAGATATATGGTGCAGACTGAGAGGAATTTGTATCGACAGGTCGCTGCAGTGTATCTTGCCAACACAGATAGCTTGAGATATTGACTTCCATAATAGGCTTCCGACATGCCGGAATAGCGATAACTCTGGGCCTTCTTCCAGTTGTCCGTAGGATGATAATCATTAAGAATATGCGCCTGCCAGAGTCTTTGTCTGTGGATTGTTATCCCTCGAGATTTCCACAAATATGGTAAATAATCCTTGGTAAATCATTGATAATCCTCTGTATAAAACCACTTCCCAAGTGAACAGTCCTATCCTTCAAAATGTAAGATGATTAAAAAACGTATCCTGGTATTTTTTAGTAAGTATGTGGCTTTGGTGGAATGCTTTTAATAACTCAGCATGACTGAATTAATGAGAAAAAACACTGATTGTCACAAAAGTCATGGTGTAGGGCAGGGGTCGGGACCGTAACCAGTGGCACACTAGGAATAAGTGTGCAAAATATTTCAATTGTATTTTCGGATCCTGAACGAGACCGCCGCCAGAGCGCGTCTC